AATCAAGCAATGTTTAAACAAGAAGGTGTTTTCATCAAAACAAATGTTTTCACATACTTTCCCCCTGGTTTGATGAAAAGAACCTTCAGTTCCTTTTGCGTTTTGAAGATCCGGCAATCTCACTGAGGCCCTGCATGTTCCCACACAGTTCTTTGATGCGCCTTAAATTTTCACGCCTTTCCTCTGATTGAGTAGCATCTGAGAAGTGGTCAGCAACTGCACCTATAAATTCTGTTCCATCCAGTCCTGAGCTGAATAGGTGCTGTGCTGAGTTTTCCGGATTTCTTTGCTGTGCTTCAAGGATCAGATTAGTCATGTTCAGATGAGAAGGGACATAAGATGCTTCTCCTTCGTTGACTGCAATAGGGAGATGCGGTATTGGAGATGGACTGTGTTGTTGAAGAATTACTTCCATCTTGCGGTTCCCAGAATGTGCACCAATAAGTCTGAACAGCTTGTATGCTTCCTTTTGATTGTCAATGATCACCTTCAAGTAGTCTTTGGTTACTACCTGATTTGCGGAAGCTATAGCTAGGGCTGATCTGATGTCCATTTGGAGAAGGGACATCTGTTTTTGTAGACCAATTGTGACATTTTCTATTTGCTCCTTGACTTTGTTGAATTCATTGAATTGCAGTTGACTGTCAGAGGTGTATATTTCCATCGTATTGCTCACAGTTTTACTCAATAGAGAGATGATCTCTAGAGTCTTTTCTACTAATTTACTTATCTCCTTGAGATCAGCGCTGTGTTTCTCTTCAGATTTTTCTATCAGCTCAGTGTGTTTGGCTTCCATTAGCTCTATTTCTTGCCTAAAGGAGGCATGTTGAGATGCTAGGGCTGACTCAATTAGCCCTTGTACCTTCTTTGTCCAGGTTTCCGGTATCTCATCCGGAAGAGTAAGAATGGAAGAGCTATGGAAGTGAAAATTAGTTACCTCATGAGGAGATGATGTCCTTTGAAAGAGTTGCAAAGGAAGAGATTCAGCATCTTCTTGCACATCTTCTTCATCAGTGATCTTTAGTGTCCTCTCAGATTCTCCTTCTGCTTCATCAAGTGCAAAATTTGATATGTATCTTGAGAGTGAGTCACTATCTTCAGCTTCATTTGGTTCTTCAAAAATGGCTATTGGAGTTTGAAAGGTGGTTTTTGAAGTGTTTTTGATGAAAAACTATTTAAATGTGCCCAGAAGTAAAAACCAGTCATAAAAAGTTGAAAACCATTTGGTTAGTTCGGACCCTAAAAACCAACGCCGAAAACCGAATGCCGAATGCCGGTTTCTGAAACCCGAACGCCGGATGGCTTGGTTTTTGGTTTGGGCGAACACCAAGTGTTTTTAATGTTTTATAAATCTTTGAAAAACATTTTTATGATGTGTGAAATGCATTGAAAAGAATTTTAGCCTAAAGAGCCAAGGTGTAAAGATTGGGTCGGTCTTGATCACAATAAAGACCGACTCAACGATGCTAAGACTAAGGTCTTCATTCTTGGTCTTCGTTTGGCTCTTGTTCTCTTTCTTATCATCTTTGGTTCTCGCCTTGTAAATTCAATGACTTGTCTCGTTCACGGCGGTTTGGCATTATCAAAACCTGTCATAACAACGAACGCCGGCTTTAGTACGAAAACGTGATAAACCTGTGTTTCAACAGTTGACTGGTATTCCTAAGCACTTCTTGATGATTTTCTCATTCTTCAGCTGTTGGTCCCAATTCAACAGTTGCTCTGCTGAATTTCCAACTTTCCAGGCTTTCCAATCATAGTATAGCTGCCAGAATTGGTTATCTGCATCATCTGTTTGATGCTGAGATGAGGTTGGAAGGCTTTGGACTTGAGGAATTTCTTCTTCAAATTGGTGAGGGCTCTGGTTACGAGCAGATGTTTCCTCAGTAGGTTCCTTTTCCTTCAACTCATCCGGATTGACATTTCTAGATGTTGAGGGGGAGTTGATCTTCCTCTTCTTCTTCCTTTGAAGTTCTCCTTGGTCAGAGGATCCTTCCTCTTCTTCAAGGTTTATTGGAGCAAGATTCTGTGGTGCTTCAATGGAGGGAGACACCACTTTCTTCCTTTTGGTAGTCTTCGTCATATGGATGAGTGGGATGTTATCTGAAGAGCTTTCTTCTGAAGTGGCACTAGTGCCAGCTCTGTTTTCCCCTTTTGTAGACAGATAGTATAGCCAGTATCTTTCTTCATACTTCTTTCCTTTAGAAGCAATACCCATAGATCCCAAAATATGTCCAAGGTATAGTCCTTGACAGAGATATTTCTGGTTGGGCTTTCCCAAATGCTTTGAGATGGAATTGAAAAAGTGTGCAGCCCGGTTTACCTTAGTTTTAGTAATGAGAGAGTTGATAATGAAGGCTCTCTCTTGGGTGATGTCATCGGCATGACCTCCACTTCCACACTCGAGGCAAGCGATAACCAGTTCCAAAACCAACTTATAATCGTTGTTTAGATCTGCTTTCTTCGCAGGGCCAGAAGGAGTTCGCCTAGAAATTCCAATGATGTTCCAGTCCAGATTTTTGACTGGAAATTTCCCAACTTCAACTCCAGAATTGGGAAGGCGAAGCTTTTCTCCCAATTTCTTCTGCGAAAGCTTTACTTTTGTACCTCCAATAGTGGACTTGATGACTGGAAACGTCCTCTGTGGGTCCTTCTTTGAATGGGCAGTTTTGATATCTCCATTTCTGTAGAATTCGAGAACTTCTTCCTCGAATTTGAGGCGAATCTCCATTTGAAGAAATTCGGAGAGTTCTTGAGCGGCTATCATTTGCAGATAGCTTTGGAAGAATGTTGGTGAGGAGCACTTGGCTTCTAACTTCTGGAAGTGGACATTTGCTCCGACAACCTTCATTTTCTCTGAAATTTGGGTGAAAATTTGAGAAAGAAAGACTTAGGGTTCGTGCAAGTTCTTGAGAATTTTTTCGCGAAGAAGATGACGAAGAATTTTTGAGTGGGCGGTTGAGATCTGAATAGTGGCAATTGGGTTTTAATGTGGGCGATTTATGCGGCTAGTGGCGATTGGATTTTTTAACTGTTCCCAAGGCCACGTTCCCACCCATCATTTTGACAGACATGGAAAGTGAACTGCCACGTGCACCTTTTTTAGTTTAATTGAATTAGACCAATTTTGTGAAGCAAATCGGAAAACTTGGCTTCACTTAGTGGTTTGGTGAAGATATCCGCCAGTTGTTCCTCAGTTGAGATATACTCAATTTTGATATCTTTCTTTTCCACATGATCTCTGATGAAGTGATGCTTGACATCAATGTGCTTAGTGCGAGAATGATGCACTGGGTTTTGAGAGATGGCCATGGCACTTTGATTGTCACAAAAGATTGTCACTTCCTTTGTCTTGACTTCATAGTCCAGTAGTTGTTGCTTTAGCCACAAAACTTGAGCACAACAACTACCGGCTGCAATGTACTCTGCTTCTGCTGTTGATGTAGAAATGGAGTTTTGTTTCTTACTGAACCAAGAAACAAGATTTCCACCAATGAATTGACAAGTACCAGATGTACTTTTCCGGTCAACTTTGCATCCGGCAAAGTCAGAATATGAGTATCCCACTAACTCAAATGAATTGTTCTCAGCATACCACAAACCCATGTTCTGAGTTCCTTTGAGGTATCTAAGAATCCTTTTAGCTGCTATCAGATGACTTTCCTTTGGCTTTGACTGGAATCTGGCACAAACACCTACTGCATATGAGATATCCGGACGGCTTGCAGTAAGGTAAAGTAGAGATCCAATAATCCTTCTGTAGAGAGTTTGATCGACATTCTTTCCATCTACATCCATATCAAGCTTGGTGGATGTGCTCATGGGGACAGAAACGGATGACTTCTGATCAACTTTGAACTT